CACCGAACCTCAATACAATAGTGATTCTGTTGTATAACCAGACCTCTACTGAATCTGGCGGGGCTGTTACCCTCACATGCTTGGGCTCTGCCATGTGTATTCTTATATATTTGTCATGCAATATCATCAAGAGGTTCAGTCAATGGTAATCCATTAGGGATACACGCAAATACGATGACGATCTATTCAGCTGTACGTTCTACATACTATGCATGCAAGTTACTGAAGCAAAGCAGGAGCACCATTAGTTTTTAGCGCAACACACATACACATACACAATGTGTATAGCTACTTATTTACGTAAATGCAGACAAACATACATATTTCTGCACACACACACACATACGGCAGACCGAAGCAGCCAGCTGCAAACGCTAGAGCCGGGCCCGGATCCGGCGCCAAACGCGGACCTGAGTCGGCGCAGCGAAGAGGTACTTACGATGCACGTTCCCTGGCCGCCGCCGCCGTGGGTGAAGCCAGCGCAGACGTGGTAGTCCTTGACGGGGATGCTGTGCATCATGCCGTAGATCTTGACGCAGTGGCTGTTGTTGACCACGGGTACCCACACCTCCTTCAGGCGGTTCTCAAGGCGCGCCCCGTGGATTCGCATGCCCCAGCCCGTGGCCACGCACTTGATGCCCAGGAAAGTCTCGTTGTCCAGCCCTGCGTCGGTGTCCGGGAGGCAGATCGGCTGCACGTGGTCGTTGAACACCGCGTCCTCCTTCAGCTTCAGCATGGCTGCAACACACGGCACGTCAACTCGCTGCCTTGCCTCCTGCCGGGCTAAGACCTCCCTCTAAGCCTCCCTCCACCTGAGGCCTCCCTACACGCCGGTCGCCCGCTGCCACCAGTGTGCCCTCTTGCCCTGCCTGGCCCCGGAAGGCCTCTTTAACCTCGCCCCCCACGTGCCCTCCCTCCTGACGCTGCCCTTATCTGGTCCTTTGACCCCCTGTCACGCCTCGGGCAGCTACCTGATTCCAGAGCCGAGGTGCTCCGTCCACATCCACAGACACATGCGCACAGACACACAGACAGAGACAGTGGAAATACAAGTGCTGGAGAGTGAGAGAAAGTGCTGCGTGCGCGCGTGCCCGCCACCACCGCCACCACCAGCGCTATCAAGTCGCCGCGTCGCCCTCAGCCCTCTGCTCGCCCAGATACTTACGACGCAGGTTCCCGTCGAGCCGTCCTGAACGCCCGCGCACAGGTGGGCGTCCGTTATCTTGGCAAAACCGTACTGGGCGGTGTTATATTTCTCTGCGCAGACTTGCGTGGGCAGGACGGGCACCTTCGTCTCCTGGAGGCGCGCGTGCAGCGGCCCTCCTCCTACCGCCTCGCCGCGCCCCCAGCCCGTGGCGTAGCAGGCCATGCCCTCGAAGGAGAAGGTGCGCAGCGGGACGGTGTCCGGGAGGCAGATGGGCGTGAGTGAGGGCGAGGCCATTTTCGACAACGGCTGCAGCTTGAGCATTGCTGGTGGAGGTGAGGGTGAGGGGAGGGCGGAGAAGGAAGCGTATGGGAGGGGGTCACGGGAAAAGACAACCTGTTATTAGATCATTCACACAACCTCGGGTCGCACCTCAAGACTTATAGAAGGAGAGTGAACGAAGGAGTCAAGGAAGGAGCTAATGTCACTGTCTGTCGTCACCGGCGTCCCTTCGTCCCTCCCAGATCCCTCAGGAAGAGCTACAGCATAGGCACACGTAGCTCACGCAAATGCAAACAAAGATCAGTCATCGCAGGACCTTAAAATAACTGGTCCAGCTTTGTGAGTGCTTGCATGCGTCTGAGAAAATAACAAATCAAAGAGACAGGAAGGGAAAAAGAAGGAAAGTAAGAAAGAACATGGGTCAAAGAGAAGAGAAGAGACAGTCACAGTCGAAGGCTTACCAATGTCGTTCTGGTAGTCATTGAAGTCGTCGTGAGTAACCACGGTGACGACCCCGAGCACGGCCTCGTGACCGCTGAGTTCGGAGCGATCGTATTCCCCAAGGACAACCTGCCACACGGCAGCAGTCTGGGTGAAGCTGAAGGCCTTGCTGCAAGGAAACTCTTTTATATCATCGTTCCCTCCCTCCTGGCCGCTACATACCTCCCCTGATGTTGCTCGGCTGGAATCTGCTTGACGTCCAATTGTCCGAGTCCCTGTTTGATTTATTCAGTCTGCTTACGAGGACGCAATTCTTTGTGTTTGAGATATTCGGTGGATCTTGTTTCACTATTTCTTAAATTATTAGGTGAACAGATCGTTGTTTTCCTATGATAATCTCTGTCTAATCATTGTCCAGGTCAATGCACTAAACTTTCAGTATTATATTAGCTTACTCATTTGTTATTTCGTTTTGCATAGTCCACCAAACACAATGTAAGAAAGCAAATTGGTTAAAGATTCTTGATTACGTATTTTGGCCCCAAAACGCAAGTCAGAATACGTCGCTATCGTTCTCGTAAATAAATAAGGTCGTGAAGTTGTCGAAAAATTGGGATTCAGTTAGAAAGAAAGGCTTATGTATTTCCAGTCACTCACTAAGTCATAAAAGGAATGCAGTACGCCTTTTGTCACTGGGTTCATTCAGAAAAAATCGTCAGTTGTATGGCACGCGAGAGAGCGAAAAGGGCGAGAGATATTGGATATCTTTGAATATAGATAACCACTAAGCTATCAAAACTCATTGACGTTACGAGTACTGCTCCGCCTGCACTGGTGTGATTCCAATTCAGTTTATTAATCTTAATATTATTATTTATTGATCATTGTTATCATAACCTTGCAATTAGGTAGTGTTTCTGCAATAAACAACGAGAAACACTTTCCTACGATAAAAAGAATAAGAAACCATAGATAAGCGGATATGCAAGCTGTAGCAGATGAGCAGACTCAAAGGAAAGTCCCTTATGACACAAAGCAAAGCAAAAAGCTAAATCACACTCTGGCAAGGCAATAAGCAATAACGAATACATGTATATACCTACATACACGCCTATATGAGTACATGCATCCCTATACACACTTTAGATCCCTAACTCACCTATATCATTCTTATAGTCCTTGAACCGCTCGTGGATCACAACTCGTTCCACCTTAAGGACCTCTCTGCCTCCCTCCTCCTCCCGGTCCCACTCCCCCACCACCACGGACCAGAGCGGGGCGAAGGGCAGAGAGAACGCCTGGCTGCGAACACCCGACAGGGCCGTCAAAGAAACCCGAAGGAGGGGAGGCAACAACTCTCATTTTTGATGGTAAAGAGAGGGGAAAGTAATGGGAGGGGAAGCAAACATGCCGCGGGAAAGTTCGTCAGGAATACGCTTTTGGGAAATATGTCGACTTTGGTAGACTAAAAAGGGTGTTTGACGTTAATAGCATCATTGGGGACTCGTTTAATTAATTAATCAGCCAAGCAAAGTACGTCGGAATAAATGTTCTTTTCATATGATACCCGATACATATCCAGACACGAAGCAAAAAGATAAAAGATACTGGCATTGTTGCAGAAGACCAAGCAGCGTCATTTATATTTTGCAAGGAAGTAGCTAACCATTTAAGTAAACAATCACTTTGAAAGAAGGAGTTGAAAGCAGCCAAACATTTGTGTAGTGTGTGTGAGATCGAATTTGCTCTTTTAGTGTACGTATATATATAAATCTGAGTGTTGTAATATAAAAAACTAATAATAAACAAAAAAGATGATGCCATTTTCAGATTCCATTCGGAGAAAAACGGGTTAGCAATGTGCGTTAGACGTAGATATGTTAAATATGGATATCGAATATTAACGTAGTTTGTTTTTCATTTATATTGTAGGCCTAATCAGGCAGTCCATTACACCTCATTTACGTTATCTTGTTTATGGTAATTAGTCATGACTTCAGATAATAATATAATAGATAATAAATAATAGACAATAGAAGAGGAATAGTGGCAACGAAAGAAGGATAGGGAGATGGAAGGATAGAAAGATAGATGAAAATAAGGAAACCAATGGATGGTAAAAAATAAGAGATGATGAAGAAAAAAAATAACGGAGAGCGGAAGAGAAAATGATGGAGGATATGACGTGTAATTTGCGGATGAAGAAACTAAACGAACATTTAAAGAAAATAAGAAATGAACAGAAAGTGTAAAGAATGGAAAACAAAAACAAAATTCACCAAAGATGCGTCTTCATGGAGTCACAAAAAAAAGAAAGAAAAAAAGAAAGAGAAAGAGAGAGGGAGAGAGACAGAGAGACAGAGACAGAGACATAGAGACAGAGAGAGAGAGAGGAAGACGCAAACAATAAACAAATAAATAGATAAAAAAAATAGTAAGTGACAAGAGAGCGCCTACCAGGAAAGGAAACGCCGCATCCTGGTTGGGTGGTGACGGCGCTGAGTGATGATACATGTGATGACAAACAATACATTAGGAGAGAGTTTTGCCAAGGATCCTCTCGCTTAAGGAGGGGGGGATAGCGTTTTAGAAGGAGGGAAGGAGGGAGTGAGTGAGTGAGGGAAGGAGAGGGAGAGGGGATGTGAGAAGGAGGGAGGAGGGAATAGAGGGAAGGAGACGGAGGAAGGGAGGGGGAGAGGGAAGGAAAAGGAGGGAGGTAGGGAGGGGGTGTGGGAAGGAGAGGATAGAAGAGGGAGGGGAGGGAAGGAAAAGGAGAGAGGGAGGGAAGGGGGGTGGAAAGGAGGGAGGGAGAAAGGGAAGAAGGAAGAGAGTAAAGAAGAGGAAGGGTGGAATGGAGGGAATGAGGGAGGTAAGGAGAGAAAGAGAGAGAGGGAGAGAGGGAGAGAGAGAGAGAGAGAGAGAGAGAGAGAGAGAGAGAAGAGAGAGAGAGAGAGAGAGAGAGAGAGAGAGAGAGAGAGAGAGAGAGAGAGATAGAGAGAGAGAGAGAGAGAGAGAGCGTAACAGAGAAAAACTAAGAAAACAAAGACATACAACTCGAGAGCGTATGTGTGTAAGCAGGTTACCGAATGCGATTCAGCTGTAAACATCCAATTTCTTGGTGTGTGTGTAGGGGGGGGGGCTGTGTGTATTCTGCGCCAACTACGCCATAGAACGCAAAGTTAAAGACAGCCAAATATCGTTTAAACAGCTAGCAGTTATATAGACTATTCTCTGCAGTACTATGATCGTGATATTAATGATATTGGTAATAGTGGAAATAATAATGATAACGATAACACCACCGATAACACTACGGTATTAATGATGAGCTATAATGACGAAAATAATGATAATGACAGTGATGGTAATAATATTAACAACACCGACGGCAGGGACAAATCTACAGTAATGATAATCATAAAGATAACGGTAATGATCATAACAGCAGTTATCATAACATGTTGAAAAGGAAAATTTGAGATGAAGACAATACATTTTAAAAGAAATCCGACATTTTTTTTATTCATTAACTAAAAACGGCTCAAAATCTGGAATACGACCATACCTTGCAGTAAGTGATATAACCCCAGACAGAACATGAATAGACAAATAAATGGTTTTGTTTTACCGAAAATGACAGCGAATAACTCTCAATCAGCGTCTCAAACAAATCACAGATTTTTTGGTAATGCAAAACCCATTAGACCTGTCATGAGAAACGTCATGAAGAGACTAAAGCATAGGAAAATTATTCGTGTACTTCGTGCAAGATCATGAAATTAATGCAGTATATCGTGACGGATGAATGGAGGTCGTAGCTAAGTGGGTTTATATATACATATACATATACATATATATACATATATATATTGTTACGAGATACGAGATTTTGAGAATGACGCAGTGGTGTTATTTTTCGATAATGTAATGCAAAAGTGATGATATTAAGATAACATTTAATTTACATTTTTAGAATTATAAATAAACTATACATTATTATTATTATTACTTTTTTTTAGAAAACATTCATATATACATTTCAGAAGTTTTTTATTATGACAAAAGCCGAAAAAAATCAATAAATCAAAAATTATCAAATTATCATTACCATTATAGCTTCACTACAGACATTATCAGTCATCATGAGCTTTCTATCCAAGAGAAAGTCTTAAGATATAGTCATTATTCCTCAGATCTACTTCCAAAAACAACCAGAACCTACTTGTTGATACAGTGGGCGGCGGTGACCACCCAGCGCTCGTCCACCAGGACTCCGCCGCACCAGTGCCCGATTCGACCCCAGCGAGGATGAATCAGTTGGAGGGACACCTGGGGAAGAGCAGGCTGGATGAGACGTCACTGGTTCTCTTCCTTCTTTTTATCTCAGTCCGTCTTGTCTGTCTGTACTCTCTCTCTCTCTCTCTCTCTCTCTCTCTCTCTCTCTCTCTCTCTCTCTCTCTCTCTCTCTCTCTCTCTCTCTCTCTCTCTCTCTCTTTGTCTAGTTAGGTATCTATACTATATCCATTTCATTCTCTCTACTTATCTACCTACTGACTTACCCACTGAGCGCCCACTTTGCCAAACTCAGAAGCACTTTGACGCTTTTGCACACACACGCACACAGAGAGAGAGAGAGAGAGAGAGAGAGAGAGAGAGAGAGAGAGAGAGAGAGAGAGAGAGAGAGAGAGAGAGAAAGAGAAAGAGAGAGAGAGAGGCCAATATGCACAAACACACACACACACTTAAGCATACGCACCCAAACAAACACCTTACCTGCCATGGCCATGCTCCAGGGGTACTCTCCTTGCCCCCTACAATGCGGCCAGTCGACATGTCTTCGAAAACCATCATTCTGTTATTCGTCCTTAGTCGCTGCTGCGTGAAGATGCCGTCGTCGTTGTTGTTGTTGTTGTTGTAGTTGTAGTTGTAGTCTCCTCCGCTGTCTCCGTAGGCTGTGGCGTCTTGGTTCAAAGGCCGTGGTTGCCTGTGTTTGTTGAAGCGACTGACACCGCATTCTGTGGAGGAGAGACGGGTAGGTTAGGGGTGAACTGTAGGCCTATATATACACACACGAAGGGTATGGGTTGAAAAAGGGTATCTCCATTATTCAAGATATGTAGGCCTACCTGGCAATTCAGTATTATTTTTTTTTATAGCATCACGTAACAATATGGAAATGTTATTAGGGTTCTTTTATTGTGGAATCATTCATTTCCATTAATACCTCCTCTACATTCCGTACAGTAAGCTTTGTGGAGAGACTAATTAAAAGCTTACTATATATAAAAGTGTTCTTTCTATATCGAAAGCTTTTCATATTAATGATCATGTGTAACTAGAACGTGAATAGAAATATGACAGTTTATTTGCCGAATTTCCTCAGGTGACGCAGAATGACTAAACATCACATTTTGTATGGAGAAAACCACAATAAACCTATCGTATGTAGAGTTCATTTACCAATATTACAAACCTCACAGACAAACTCTCCAGTTTTTACTATTTATTTATTTATTTATTTATTTCATTTATTTCTTTTTCATTTATTTATTTATTTTTATTTTGCCAAACCGACACCCCGATGAACTAATCAACAAACAGTCTCCATCACGAGTGACAAAAAAAAAAAAAAAAATAGCAATTATATATAGTACATCTATATACCGGACCTATATAGGTGTAATTTGGTACAGAAAAAGGTAAATATTGTGATCCTTGGTGGGTAAGCCAGACCTTGAGGATGGCAAACATCTTAGATCTTAGAGGGACAGTCCCCCCCCCTCTTACAATTGATGACCCTGGTCTCAACACTTCTAAAACAAACCGAAGAATTTATTAAATCGTTTCCATAATACTAGGACATGTAACAAGACCTTTCGAACAATTTTCCAGTTTACTCCTCCGCAAAAGGATATCTTTCAAACGCCACAAAGAAAAGAAAAGGAGAGAGAGAGAGAGAGAGAGAGAATAGAATAGAATTTGAAAAAATAAAAAAATAAAAAATCATCCTCATAACAATGCACTTGATGGGCTTAACGGATCCGAGTGACAATTTCCCCGCAAGAATCCAGTGCTCCTCCCTCCCCCCCCCTGGCTGCCGGAAAGTGGCACTAATTGGTCATATGTATTGATCGATGACACATTCCTTCATTGACGCTTCAGACACCTTGAAGTGTCTCACAGATTACTTTCTTCTTGAGTTTTTGTTTTTAGTTTAAGCGTAAATATCATCATGGACCCGAGAGGGGAGAGAGAGAGAGAGAGAGAGAGAGAGAGAGAGAGAGAGAGAGTGAGAGAGGGAGAGAGAGAGAGAGTGAGAGAGGGAGAGAGAGAGAGAGGGAGAGAGAGAGAGAGAAAGAGAGAGAGAGAGAGAGAAATTGAAGAGAATGAAAAAACTATTTAAATAAAAACAAGGGAGAAACATTGAAACAGAAAAGAAAATCTCCAAAACAAAAGGAGAATGAAATAAAGTAAAAAAAAAAAAAAAAAAAAAAACAACAACAACAATAGAGACCGTATCAAAAAAGGCAAATAACGTAAAAACAGAAAACGCAAAAAGACAAAAAGACGTGAAAGAAAATGGGAAGGAGAGAGACACAAGCGTTACCAATGCTCTGATTCCCTCACACAATTAACGGCGGGGGATGGGGGTACACTCGTGAACAAGAGATGAAGAGAGAAGAAGGAAAGAAAAGAGAAGAAGAAATAATAGGAAAAGTAAAAGGAAAAAGGAAATCATATTATAAGTTTTAAAAAAATCTGAGAGAGGCAGTAACGGAGGTAATCAACCGAAGATAAACTTTAAGGAAAATTCAAGAATTCTCTGAATGGATAACACTATCATTGAATATATATAATTAAAGATAATCATGATAATCATATTGAAAACAATAGTACCACTATAGCTAATGATATAATCAAGATCATTTCCATAAATGTAATGGAAATGATGATAATAATAGTAATCGTTATAGTAATAATACTACTAATAATAATTAATACCACTACTACTACTACTAAGTTATTGATGATAATTATAAAGAGAATGATGATGATAAAAGTAATAATAGTGATGATAATAAAAAGAATAGTAAAAATAATAATAATAATAAAATTATAATTATAATAACTATAATGACAATACAAACGATTATGATAACAATGATAATAATAATGCTGATGATACTACTACTACTACTACTACTAATAATAATAATAATAATAATGATAATGATAATAACAATAGTGATAGTAATCATAGTCATAATGATGATATTGATAGTAATCATAATCATGATTATGATTAATAATGATATTAACATCATCAATATCAATAATAATAGTAATAATAACAATGAGAATAATTTACTGTAGCATACGTAAAAAAACATTTTTTTTATGATCATACCTAAAGTACAACATCGGCATAATAAGGACAATAAAGTTCAGTGTCACACACGAGAATCTATTGCAACACGTAAGCAAAAACAAAAAACAAAAAAAAAACAGCGTTAACAGACACAAAAAACGCTTCATCACAATCCGTGAAGAAAGGTAACACGATCCAGTCCAGTTCTCACGTGCTTGAAACTCAGTGGTCAAGTGACCTTCTTAAAGTATCATCTGAGAAGAAATAGCCGCTGGCGTCATGAACAAAATTGCTAAATTCCGTGTAGTATGTAGGGACTTTACTCATTATTTAATTGATCGGTGTTTGAATTATATTGAGATTAGTATGTTTGTGAATGCAGGTTAGACAGACGTGAAACTCACAAGACTTAAAAGTAAAACAATGTGTCGTTCAGAGTCATGTCTATTTTGTTTTCAATTTATCATCTATTCATTTATTCGTATTCATCTTCTTATTTATTTATTTATCAATCATCTTTACATTGCTAGAACTGAATATTGAGATAAAAAGTGTAGCAAATGCATCTCCCTCAAAATGCTTTCATGGTAGCTTTTATATAAGGTATTATGAGTCTGGATAAACGAGTATCTATATGGATAAAAACATATATGTCAAATACATTTTAGTTAGTGCTGACGGATAAATGAATGAACAAATAGACAAATAAGTAAGGAGATGAATACAAAAATAAAAAAAGCGAAGTTTCTTACGCTGCGAAACGAAAAAAAAATAAAACTTTATTGTTTGATAAAGTAATGAATGTAATACGAATTGAATAGTATGTTATATAATACGATATTACGAATCAAGTAGAATGTTAAAAAAGCGGAAAAGAGCCTGGAATTCCATAGCTGTTTGTGGTTCTTAACTGCAGGTTTACGAAAAAGGAGAAAGACGAAACCACAAAAGATAGATTAATAAACTGATAGACAAGGAGAGAGTTAGAGAGTGAGAATGAAAGTTGAATCAGGTTACAAAAAGCTTGTTAGATTCAATAGCGGTGGTGACGGGATACCTCCTCTCTCCTGTACTTTTTATTTGTATTTTTTATGATTGGTGATAAGTGTTATTGAGAAGCGTATATGGAATGTCTTCAGAAAAAAAATCTATTTTATCTACAGACACACGCACACACATATATAAGCATACACACACGCGCGCTCATACATACAACTACACACACCCACGCACGCACGCGACACACACACACACACACACACACACACACACACACACACACACACACACACACACACACACACACACACACACACACACACACACACACACACAAACACACACACACACACATACACACACATACACACACACACACATATATAGACGAATAGATAAATAGATAGATAGACAGATAGCTAGATAGATATATACATATGTATAATTCTTTCCTTTCCTTTACAAATTTATACAAAATTACCTTAAACCTCCTGACTCATTATACGAAAGCCAAGCGCCAAGATCAGTAGAGCAAGACGTTCTAATAATCGTATGCAATTTAAAGCTTTCTTCACATCCAAGAACAACCATTAATAATCTTTTTTTTTTAGTTTTAGTCACCAAAAAAAAAAGACTAATTGGTAAAAGTGTAAGTGGTAAAAAAGCGTTGCAAATTCGGTTGCAAGCGAGACGAAAGCGGAACTATTAAGTATGCAATGGACTGAGCACAAAAGGTGTTGTCACGGAAGTATGTGTCCAATTTTCTCACTGTGGGGAATTCCTGATTTTTTATCTTATTTTACTTTTTTTTATTTATTTTTTTTATTATTTTTTTACTTTTTATGTATGATTTATTATTTAGTTTATTCATTTTTTTATATTGATGTATTTGGTTCTTAGTTTTTTTTTCTTTTCTTTTTTTTATCTCTCGTTCTTTTATCTTCTTCTTCTGCTGCTTCCTTTGTTTTTCTTACTTCCTCTTTTTCTTTTTTGATCTCCTTTTTCTTTTTCTTGTTTCTCCTTTTTCCTTTCTCTTCCTCGTCATCACCATCTTCCCCTTTCTCTTCTTCGACTTCATCATCTTCATCTGTTCCTTCTCCTTCCCCTGTTTCTTCTTCCTCTTATTATTATTATTATTATCATTATTATCATTATTATTATTATTATCATTATTATTATTATTACTATTATTATTATTATTATTATCATTACTATCATTATCATTATTATTATACTTCTTACTTTTATTCTTATTATCATTTTCCTCCTCTTTCCTCTTTATTTTCCTTCTTCGCCTTTTCTCTTCTTCCTCTATATGCTATTCTTCTCCGCCCTTCTTCCTTCTCCTTCTCTCTATACTTGGAAGAAGAGAAGTGAAGAAAAGAGAAGAGAAGAAAAGAAAAAAGGAGAGGAGAGCAGAGGGAAAATAGAAAAGAAGAGAAGAGAGAAAGGAGAATAGAAGAGAAGAGAGAAAAGAGAAGAGAAGAGAAAATAGAAAGAAGAGAAGATAGAAAAGAGAGGAGAAGAGAGAGAAAAGAAGAGAAAAGAAAATAGAAAAGAAAAGAGAGAAAAGAGAATAGAAAGGAAAAGAAGAGAAGAGAGAAAGAAGAAGAGAAAAGAGAAAGAAAAAGAGAAGAGAGAAAGAAG